GTGCACTAGAAATAACCTGTATGAATTTATCATTATATCCTCGTCGTACGGTGCAAATTAATCAAGAGTAGCTGTCAATTGTACTCCATTAGAGGAATTAATTAAAGATTTATGTTGCCGCTGCTGCTGCCAACCTCTTAAGTGGTCCGTCTGAAAAAATTGATTTTCGCAGATGGATGATGAAAACCCATCCCGGTTTATATTTTTCAGGTGGACATTTGGCTTCGAGAATCATACCGTCTGAAAAAAATAAAAGACCAGTGTCACTAAAAATCTCTTTTTCTAGTAGAGACAGATGGGTTGATATGACGAGTTGGCGACGCCCTACGGCGCCTATGGGTTTACTATGCAGGAGCGAGTTGAAATGAGTTCGTGAATTTATTGTTCATGGCTATATATATTATCTAAACAAAAACTAGCTAGCTTGTTGAGTTTTTTTCCAGCTAGCATGCTTTAAGCTAATCGATCTCGTATGCTTCAAATAATTAAGTGTGTTGATCAGCGATTTCGTGCCAGGTGACGGCACCACCACTCTTTTCTGGTCTAACCAGATTGAGAGCCGCTCGGTAACTTTCCTTTGCACCCAACCTTCTCCTTGTTATGCCACCACGTATCCGGGCTTTAAGCACGGTCCTCTTGGCTCTCGCCGATAACTTTTGGGTGGGGAATATTCATGGCACTCTCACGGTCCCTGTCATTTCTTAGTTACTCGTGCTCTAGGACGCATTTTGTCTGGCGTTGGACGAGTGACCAACGATACTCGACTCGCTTGGCTTGCCATGCGTTATTTCTCGGCCAACAATCCTTTGCTTGCGCCAATCTTCTTTGGCAAGCTAAAAGTCCCGTTAAGTGCAAATTATTCCTTTGGCTTGCGTTCCAGCAACATTGTTGGATGGCCGACCTTCTTCTCAAGCGGGGTATCAACAGCCACTCGGCCTACCCCTTCTACGCCCAAGAGCTGGAGACGGCGAACCACATCCTTCTCGATTGTGTTTTTGCTCGTCAGGTCTGACGCCAAGTCTTGTATTCCTCTGGCTGGTCTGACCTCGCCTCTTCTCTTGGCTGCTCGCTCTAGGTCTGGTGACTACCTTCTAGGGCACGCCTATCAGAGCATCTTCGCAATGGTTTCGATTCCCTAATCCTCTTGATATCCTAGCAGGTGTGGAACGAACGGAACTCTAGATTTTTCGACTACTCACTCTTTTTCAATTTTGGTGGTATTGGAGTTCATCCGTTTGGAAGGTCGTCTCTAGTCTTTTGTCGGCGCTGCTGTTTTTGGAGTATTTCTAGGATTTTAGTGGGCTCCACCACCACCTTCCCTCATATTAGGAGTCTTTTCTTTTCCTTAAAGTTTTTTTTTCACAGTTTTCCCGTTTCCATTTTTTCATGTACGTTGGCGACAATCTTTCTGGCCATTTGCGTTGTGTAATTCTCTTTTTAATATATTGACGCATAATTCTTTTGCTCGTTCATGAAAAGTGTGTTCGGTGATAATGTGTGTGGGTATGAGTGTCTCATGTAATTGAAAGGGAAAGCTCTGCCGTCACTAGTCCGTATATGCCATGGAGGATGAATGGATAAGCCGCGTTTGAAGAAGCTAAGTATCCAATAATCTAATTAAACATTTAATTCAGAGATTATTGGTGGGAGAGCATATACCAATTAACAAACTTAGCTAATAGTCATCATCCAGTTGTTCATACATGACAAAGAGAGAGTTAGGGGACGACGTACAGCTCCCAAGTTGTAGTACAACTTGACCCTCAAAAAGTCAGCACTTGTACTGCACACCATGCGTAGTACGTTCGTTCGTTGATGCACATATATATGCGATGGCCCGAGCAAGACTTCACGCTTTTATATAGTACAATATATTTAATTTAGTTCCTTACTTATTGAAAATTTGATCTGACTTGTCAATTTAGAATTCATCTCCCGCTAACACACGTCACTGGATTATATATTATATCAATCAATACTTGTTTCAGTTATAAAACTTTTGGGAAAGTGATTTCATCCTCAATGGGATATCCTCTCGTTTCGTGCATGCCACCTAAATAGTCATAAGAAAATATAAAATAAATGGCAATATAGACTAATATGAAATATATCGTTTCACAAACATGCAAGTTTAAATTCAACTTCGATAATTTGTAACAAAAATAACAAATATTATTGTAATAGGGGGATAACGCCCTCCCTCCTATCCGGTTGAAACACCTAAAATAGTTTACGGAAAGATTCTAAGTGTAAAACAGGGAAAACACTCTCGAGTTGGAAAACACTCTTGAGTGGCTTCTTATCAGTTATATGTAACTCATCTTACTTAAAGATGAATTCTAACTACATGGCAGGTAAACCGGGGTGATTGGAAAGTTGATGGAGGATGTGCGAACCCTCGAGAATAGAAGACATTCGGCTAAGAAGAACTCGAAGGAAAAACCTATTCGAGTTGAGATCAAGTCGAATGGAAGATTTTGTGGGGGCCACTTCTCAACCACTCTTGCCAGCTGGAGCCAAAAGACTATAATGACCCTGAGAATATACTGTAATACCCCTAAGGTTGCTGACATGGCAAGGGCGTTATAGGAAATTCACTAAAGCCCATGAGGGTAGAAATGTAACATCACATGTAAGACCGTAGGCTATAAAAGCTGATCAAATCCCTGTAGCAAGACAAGATATTTTTAATACAAAAGTAATCCTCAAGAGTTGTGTTTGTTGTTTGAGCTCATTTCTAAGGATAGGCGGGAAAATACTTCTTTCCGGTCTATCCCCAATCTTGTTCGTGACCTAAGGTCCCAATAAATATATTTGTGAATGTGCGATAACTATTTTGAGTTTAATTTGTTATTTTTGTTGCAACTTGTAAAAGTAAAATTTGGTTTTGCATGTTTGTAGAGTGATATATATATTTCGTATTAATCTATATTATCAATTTTTTTCAAATTTTTTAATAACTATTTAGATGGTATGCAAACAACGAGGGGATGTCCCCTCGAGGGATCAGAATCCACATCCAAAACTTTTTATGTTTATAGTAAAAAGTAAAATTCGATCAAACTTTTGATATCTTGACCACTGATATTAGAACAAGCTTATAAAATCTAACTGTACTTTGTAATATTATGACTTCTCATGGCAAATTTATGGACGTCCTTTTAAAAATATGGATATTCGAGATGTAATTGATGATCAAAGTTTAATAAAATTTTGTTCTAATAAACTGTAAATATTTATTACTGGATAAGGTAAAACGTACATCTAGCTTAACCTAACATCATCGTATCCCTTCTTTTTATAAAACTAATATCCACTGAATACCTAAAACTCAACGTGAAACATATTATTTATTAGCACTATTAAAACACATATGCAAGCATGCCATATCAACTCATTAAGCACATAAAACTTAACATGCAAGCATATAATAATTATATTTATAATTTGTTTCATTATAAAACTAAACATACACATACTGGATCATCATTCTCAAATTAATCATCTATTATATTATTAAAGGAATAGAAAAAGGAGCCTCCACGTTCACTCACATAACCTAGAAATTTTCATATTAATCGAAGAAAAAGAAAAATGCAGACTCCATATAGAAATACAATTTAGAAATAGCTGAAATTCGGAATTAAAAAATAAGAAATATTAGAAGAGGAGACTAGAGTCCATATAGAAATACAATTTAGAAATAGTTGAAATTCGGAATTAAAAAATAAGGAGTATTAGAAGAGGAGACTAGAGTCCATATAGAAATACAATTAGGAAATAACTGAAATTCGGAATTAAAAATAAGGAATATTAGAAGTAGAGTATAGAGTCTATATAGAAATACAATTAGGAAATAATAGAAATTCGGAATTAAAATAAGGAATATTAGAAGTAGAGTATAGAGCCATATGAAAAAGCATTGTCCATATAGAAATATAATTTAGAAATAGCTGAAATTTGGAATTAAAAAATAAGGGATATTAGAAGAGGAGACTAGAGTCCATATAGAAATACAATTTAGAAATAGTTGAAATTAGGAATTAAAAAATCAGGAATATTAGAAGAGGAGACTAGAGTCCATATAGAAATATAATTAGGAAATAACTGAAATTTGGAATTAAAAATAAGGAATTTTAGAAGTAGAGTATAGAGTCCATATAGAAATACAATTAGGAAATAACAGAAATTAGGAATTAAAAATAAGGAATATTAGAAGTAGAGTATATAGTCCATATAGAAATATAATTAAGAAAAAAAGAAATTCGGAATTAAAAAAATAAGGAATATTAGAAGTAGAGTATAGAGTTCATATAGAAATTTAAAACTAAATAAAATTCAGAATAAACATAATAAAATGAAAAGTTGTGTTTAGAGTCCATATAAAAATACAATTTACAAATAACTAAAATTTAAAATTAAGAAAAACATGGGAAGAAGAGTTTAAAGTCAATATAGGAATACAATTTAGAAGTAACTGAAATTTGAAATTAAAAATTAAAGAATATTGACAGATGAGTTTAGAGTCCACATAGAAATACAATTAGAAATAATAAAAATTCAGAATTAAAAAAGAAATATTAAAAGATAAGTCTAGAGTCCATATAGGAATATATATATATATATATATATAATTTACAAATAACTAAAATTTGATATTAAAAATAATTAATAACTAACACGTATATAAAATACAATATGAATATTACACATTAGTAGTTTCGTAAAGTTATTGCAAAATTTAAAATTACGTTGTCATTGTAATATATTTTAATAATATAATGAGAAAACATATATACTATTATATGAGAGAAAATATAATGATGCTAGCCGCGCAATCTGCGCGGGCCACCATACTAGTTTTTATAATATATCAATCCGAGTCCTTCATCATTTCTCCATTATCTAACATATATCCAGCAGCAAAGCGTTGGGCATCTCTAAACCCGAGTTTACTTTAACACACCTATAATATATAGACGTGTATATATATATAAGCTCTCACAATCCAGCCTCCTACCTAGTGGCTGGCCCAGAAGTCGATCGATCGATCGTGACGGCGACGGCGCGAGCCACGACCATGGCCAGGACGATGACGATGAGGGTTTCTTCGCTCCTTGTCGCCGTGGTCCTCCTCGCCGCGCTCTCGTTCCAGGCGTGCAGCGGCCATGGCGGCATCAACGACGGCGACGGGCAGGTCGACGCCCCGGCAACGCCTGCGTCGTCGTCCGGCGTGCGGTCCAAGGGGCTGATCGCCGTGAAGGTGTGGTGCCTGGTGATCCTGCTGGTGTTCACCTTCGCCGGCGGCGTCTCCCCCTACTTCTACCGGTGGAACGAGAGCTTCCTCCTCCTCGGCACCCAGTTCGCCGCCGGCGTCTTCCTCGGCACCGCGCTGATGCACTTCCTCGCCGACTCCACCTCCACCTTCAAGGGCCTCACTACCAACCAGTACCCGTTCTCCTTCATGCTCACCTGCGTCGGCTTCCTGCTCACCATGCTCAGCGACCTCGTCATCGCCGCCGTCGCGCGGAGGAGCGCCGCCGCCGGCGTTAGCGACAACCAGGTCAGTGAGCAGCAGCAGCGGCAGCAAGCCGAGGGGGCGGTGATGAGCCGCAAGGAGGAGGAGGCGGCGGCGGTGGCGCACCCGGCGATGCTGGTGAGGACATCGTCGTTCGAGGACGCCGTGCTGCTCATCGTCGCGCTCTGTTTCCACTCCGTCTTTGAAGGGATCGCCATTGGTGTCTCAGGTCAGGACAAAGCTTGTTGCAATCTGATTCATTTAAATTCAGTTCTTTTAACTAATTAAATTCAGTTTGACTGATTTTTTTTTTGCTCCAAGTCTCTGGGACAAAATTCTGTCAGTGTGCAATTAATGTTCATTGCTAGCTGACTCATTTTTAGGCCAATTGTTATGCTAAAACCTAGAGTTGTTTGTTCTGTCTCCAGATATTTCGATCTCTTTGATTTGGCTAATTGATCATCTCATCTCACTAGTTACTTGAATTATTTGTCCTCTTGCTTAATCATTTTTACAGCTGATAAGTTACAAATTTTCAAGGCATTAATTAATTTCAATACAATATTAGCCTGTTGTTTTAGCATGATCAAAATTACGGGATACATTATACATAGACAGATGATGTAACGATTAATTGCTAGCTAGCTAGTAAAACTGCATGTGCTATATAATTTGAACGATGATATGGTTTCTTGAAAATCTTGAGTGATTACTGGAAGAAAAGGAACAAAAATTGGAATGTATATATGGATGAAATAATTGGACTCTCTGATGTCAATATGAGATGAATTGCAGCGAGCAAGAGCGAGGCGTGGAGGAACCTGTGGACGATCGGGCTGCACAAGATATTCGCGGCGGTGGCGATGGGAATCGCGCTGCTCCGGATGATCCCCAAGCGCCCCTTCCTCATGACCGTCGTCTACTCCCTCGCCTTCGCCGTCTCCAGCCCCGTCGGCGTCGGCATCGGCATCGCCATCGACGCCACCTCCCAGGGCCGCGCCGCCGACTGGACCTACGCCATCTCCATGGGCCTCGCCACCGGCGTCTTCATCTACGTCGCCATCAACCACCTCATCGCCAAGGGCTACCGCCCCCACCACCCCACCGCCGCCGACAAGCCGCTCTTCAAGTTCCTCGCCGTCCTCCTCGGCGTCGCCGTCATGGCTGTCGTCATGATCTGGGACTGATCCATCCATCCTAGTATTACACTGCTTCATTTCTTCAATTCCTGCGCCCATGTATGTATGCTTAATTTGGCTTGTTTAATTAACTGTATGTACACATGCTGCATGCATGTTCGATTTCTATCACCCCATTCATTAATCGTGGCCGAAACAGTTCATGTCCACTAATGATTGCTGTATCTATCTACATATATCAAACCGTGAATAAAAGTTGTTATAAAACGTACTGTTGGTTTCGTTGGATCATTTTTTCTGATGATGAAAAATATCGCATGAATTTGAGTGCGCAGAGACCAACAAAGAAAGGAATAAGATCACTTTGACTCCCTCAACTGACCACCGAATCTAAATCGTATCCTTCAACCGCAATAACAGAAATCTTACCCCCAACTTACAAAACCGGTACAATTTGACTCTCTTGGTGGTTTTGGAAAGTGGTTTTGCTGATATGGCGCACACGTGGCAGTATTGACTTGGTCTTTGTCCCACGTGGCATTGACGTGGCGCTTATGTAGCATTAAAATTTAAAAATATAAGCAGGGTCCATTTGTCATTCACACAAAAATAATTGTAGGCCCCACTGATATGTGGGTCCCACATGTCATCCCCTCTTTATCCCTTCTTCCTTCTCCTTCTCCTCCCTTCTCTATGTCTCCCTCTTTCTCACATGTGGGCCACCGGACCAATCAAACCGGGAAGCCATGGCGACCACGCCGACCACCACCACCACCACCCTCTCCGCCGCCCGCCTCCTCATCCCCACCGTCGCCGCATCGCGCGCTTCCTTCTCCACCCTCGCCCTCCCGCGATCTCCCTATCCCTCTCCCGCTCCACCGCCGCCGGTTGCCGCGGCCACCTCGCCGAGCCATGGCGACCACGCCGACCACCACCACCACCACCCCCTCCGCCGCCCGCCGCCGCATCGCACGCTTCCTTCTCCACCCTCGCCCTCCCGCGATCTCCCTATCCCTCTCCCGCTCCGTCGCCGCCGGCTGCCGCGGCCACCTCGCCGGCGCGGCCTCAAAGTCCAAGGGCGCAGGAGCAGCGGAGAACAAGAAGGGGCAGGAGCAGGAGTAGCAGGAGGCGTTCGCGACGGTGGTGGACGGTGCGGAGGAGGCCGGGAAGGAGGAGGCGGGAGGAGAAGGAAGGGATAAGAGCCCCGAGGCGGTGGCAGCGGAGCTGAAGGAGGCGGAGGCCGCGGCCGCCGCCGGCGGGTGGTGGGCCGGCGTCGCGTAGGAGATGTCGAAGATCGAGTGGCCGGTGCCTGGGAAGGTGGTGGGCACCACAGGCGTCGTGCTCGGCGTCATCGCGAGCTCCACCGCCGCGCTGCTCTCCGTCAACGCGCTCCTCGCGGAGCTCTCCGACCGCACCGCCGCTCGAGCCCTCGCCTGCCGCCGGCTCATGTCAAGGGGAGAGAGAGAGAGAGAGAAATAAGGGAGAGAGGAGGAAGAAGGGTGGTGAGAGAGAGGATGATATGTGGGACCCGCATGTCAGTAGGGCCCACAATTATTTTTTGTATGAATGACAAATGGGTTTAATTTTAATGCCACATAAGCGCCACGTCAATGCCACGTGGGACGAAGACCAAGTCAACACTGCCACGTGTGCGCCACGTCAACAAAACCACTCTCCAAAATCACTAAGGGAGTCAAATTGTACCGGTTTTGTAAGTTGGGGTTCAAGATTTCTGGTACTGTGGTTGAGGGATACGATTTAGATTCAGTGGTCAGTTGAGGGAGTCAAAGTGATCTTATTCCACAAAGAAAAGATGCGGCCCAAGCCCAACACTACGGCCCATCTCTCCGGAGCCTCAGAGCTGGATGCCCCTCTGCCTCTGCTTCACTGCTTGCATTGCATATTTGCATACAAACACTTCTGGATATGAGAAGCTCAGTTAATTTGCATTTGGAAATATATTACTCCAGTAAAGACTATCTCTCCTCCACCATCCATGCGTCTAACCAACAATGAAACGGGTCATCTGGAATTGAAAGGTGGCAGATAGCACCACACGATTATACAATTTTTCAACTGCAAAACGAACATTACCTCGGACATTAAACACGCACGTTTCAGCTGGAGACATCCAAACTACTACTCCCACCATTTTAAATTGATCTACATATAGTTTTTTTTGTTTATTTCTAAATGATCTACATATTTGTGTTCATTTATTAAGTCTATTCGTTATTTGTGTATTGGAGTAAATAGACATTGATGCATGTATCCATGCACACAAGTATTTATAACCCACATGCAATATCTTGATTTGCTATTGGCTAGGAAATATTGGGGATGGTGCATGCATCGAGTTTGTTGCTAGAGTAAATATAGTATGAGAGAGTTATTATCTTTTCTTGGTCTTAGTGTACCCATGAAATATTCCCTCCATTCCAAATTGATCTACATATTTCATAGGTACACCAAAACCAAGAAAAGCTAATAACTCTCTCATACGATGGCTCTGTTTGTTTCAGCTTAAGATTATTGTAATCTATATTATTAAATCAGATTACTCTAAGCTGGATTATAATAAGCTAACATAAAATAAGCTACGAGTTGTTTGTTTCTCTGGATTATTAGAGGCATCTAAGGGTAGTGGGTTGTCGGTGATATGGGACCGGGAGTATCATGACTAGAGGCTTGAGGCAGACACAATCGCCCACGTGGCCTGGCACCTTCGGGGACGTCGGGCCCGAGGGTGAGGTGTCCGCCCTCCTCCTGATTTCCCCCGAGGGGGGGTCGGGTTGCGCTTGCCCCGGCCCCGAGGGCCGAGGCACCCCGACCCCCTTAAGGAAGTCTGCGCCACACATATGGGATAAGTGAGCACAGCTGTGCTCACCTAACAGCATTTATTGCAGTCTGGTCAAGCGTGTCACGCTGTATGCAGCGCAGTACGGCGCGTTCCTTTATCCGGTCTGTGACCAGTCACAGACCGGTCAGATCACGGGTTAGGTGGCGACTGGCGGTCTGACGCACGCCTTGCCCCATCCCGTCAAGACGAAAGCCTCTAGGCAACTCGTCTCAAGCCGGAGCTAGCGTGTTATCTCTTAGAGATGGCACGTTAGCCCTGGTTAGATTTATACCAGGCTTCATCCTAACCATTACAGGCAAGGTGTTACACGAAGAAGGGCAAACATGCATCTTGTTAAACTGACACATGGTGGACAAGAATGACCAGTCTGACACTGGTCGCGTCAGCAACGGGCAGCCACGATCCCACGTTGCGCCCGTCTCCGCCGGGAGTGGAGGTAGGTGTGGGCTGTCCCATCGAAGTGTCATTCGGACAGCGACCATACCAATCTCCGTCCATAAAGAGAGGAAAAGTCCAGTTTGGAAAGAAGAGGGTGCATGTGGTATCCCCTTGAAGTATAAAAGGAGGACCTTGCCCATAGAGAAGGGGGATTGATTCTTTCCAGATTTAGAGCTTAGAACGGGGAAGAAGTTGGCTCACACTTTGGAGCTCATTCATACACAAATCCACAAAAACACAGGAGTAGGGTATTACGCTTCGCAGCGGCCCGAACCTGTATACATCACCGTGTCTCGTGTGTCTTGCGGGCAGACGATCTTTCCAGATACAGAGGGAGAGCGAGAGCTTGAGATTTCACCCTAAGCCCCCGGCCGAACTGGCAAAGGGGGGCCTGCGCGGTCTCCCGGTGAGGAGCCACGAGCTCCGTCATCTGGCGCGCCAGGTAGGGGGCTCAGCGTGTGTTTCCTGAGCTCTCAGACTCTTCCGTGTGCGCCAAGTTTTTCTTGGTCAGCCTAATGGCCGAGCAAGGAAAAGCGCACGACCTCTCTCCGAGTGTGAGCGGCGACGACGGGGAGCCGAATCCACGCCGTCGAGCTCGTACTCCCCCACCTCCTCCACACCAAAGTCCTAAGCAGGGGGAGGCGCTCGAGAGGGATGATAAATCCGCAGCATCACCGGTCGCGGGTGGTGCAGGAGAACGGCGAGATGGGGAGTGTCGCCTCCTCGTCTACGGCGACGGCAGCACGCCTCAGGGTGCGCTTCAGGCTGCTGGCGCGCTCCTACGACACCCGCCTGTCGTCCATGACCCGGAGTCTCCAGCCCAACGATGGCTGGAAGACGTGGCCAACTTGGTCATGACGGCACAGCAGTGCCTGGGTGCTGGTGGACGGTCCGCCACCACCAAGACCTCCGGCGCCGCTACCACCGGCTCCGTGTCATCAAGGCGGAGGGCGCGGCGAGCGGCGGCGGCTGCACGTCATTCGGCTGCCACTCCCTCGTCGACACCGTCGACTCGGGAGGATCAGCATGGGGAGCCGGATGCCCGCCTCAACATCGAGCGCCGGCGTAATAGCCGGCGTACTCCCCGTGCAACGGAGGGCGCCTCCTCGTCCAGAGTGTCACCTCGACACGGACGTGAAGATCAGCCCTCCGTGCCCCCGGCCGGTGGTGTTGGCTGTAGAGCCTTTGTGGCGAGTCTTCGGAATGTCCGTTGGCCCCCAAGGTTCCGGCCCACCATCACCGAGAAGTACGATGGGAGCGTCAACCCCACTGAGTTTCTCCAGGTCTATACGACCGGGATCGAGGCCGCTGGGGGTGACGACAGGGTCATGGCGAACTTCTTTCCCATGGCCCTAAAAGGACAGGCGCGGGGTTGGCTAATGAACCTGCCACCCGCGTCGGTCCACTCCTGGGAAGATTTGTGCCAACAGTTCACCATGAACTTCCAAGGCACATATCCGCGCCCAGGCGAAGAAGCGGACTTGCATGCGGTACAGCGAGGCGATGATGAGTCGCTTCGCTCGTACATTCAGCGGTTTTGCCAAGTCCGCAATACTATACTGACGGAGCTCGTGGCTCCTCACCGGGAGACCGCGCAGGCCCCCCTTTGCCAGTTCGGCCGGGGGCTTAGGGTGAAATCTCAAGCTCTCGCTCTCCCTCTGTATCTGGAAAGATCGTCTGCCCGCAAGACACACGAGACACGGTGATGTATACAGGTTCGGGCCGCTGCGAAGCGTAATACCCTACTCCTGTGTTTTTGTGGATTTGTGTATGAATGAGCTCCAAAGTGTCAGCCAACTTCTTCCCCGTTCTAAGCTCTAAATCTGGAAAGAATCAAAACCCCTCCTCTATGGGCAAGGTCCTCCTTTTATACTTCAAGGGGATACCACATGCACCTTTCTCTTTCCAAACTGGACTGTTCTTTTTCTCTTTAATGGGCGGAGATCGGTACGGTTTCCATCCGGGAGCCCTTCTGATGGGACAGCCCACA